TTATGGGTTCAGAATACTCCAATTTGATCATTTTGGTGGTAGTAGTAAATGCTACTTTTGGGAAGTGGTTGTTTGGGTTAAACCCTCTTTTTGGAAAGTGTTGTGAGATCAAATCTTTTGGGATAAATTATATATTTTTAAATGTATAATTTGGTATGAAAATTTACATATATATTCTGGAGTTATAAATATCCGTATTAGATTATTTTGAATATGGTATTAAATACTATTTTGGAACTAGTTTTGGATAAACCCTAAATTGTAAGTTTCTCTGCCAATCCAAAATTGTTTCCTCGTATTATATGCTTATTATGCATTATGTGATTAAGTGTGAATTGTGAATTTTGTGTATGTGATTTTGAGAAGATATTATATATATGGTAGTTAAGAAGTATAAATCAAGTACTTTTGGGGTATTAAATATTTTTAAATACCTTCGAGACTTTTTAGAGAAATTAAGAAGTATTTTTGAAGTATTATTAAGCGAAGATAAAAATTACCTTTTCATAAAGAAGATAGCATCTCGGGAGTAATCCGAGGTGTCGGTTTTTCCACATCCGGATAAATGTGGAGGGTGATTAGAGCTACTACTACTAAGAAGTACAGTTTAAGTTTTGGATCTATGATCCCTTTTAAGCAAGATTTGGATCTATGATCCCTTTTAAGTAAGATTTGGATCTATGATCCCTTTTAAGAAGAAGTTATAGTAGTAGTCCCTAATCATTCAAGAATTTTAGAATTGGGGTGGTTGGGTTCCGACCACTCGGGATGACTTACTACTCGGAGGGCTTGGAATCCCTTTTAGGGGGTGTGCACACTTAAGGTAGTCGTTTCGTTTCCAACAGAGCAGTTGTGGTACCGACACTTGTTCGGGGTGGCCGTCCGTAACCACGGTCCACCGGGCTCAGTCGAAAGGTTGAGCACCGCCCTTCTAAATTACTAGGAAGTTGGAGAAGAAGTGATTTTCTTAAGAAGTTTAAAGAGAAGAGATACTAAGAGATTTTCGAAGAGAAGTTGAGGTTTTTAGCAAAGAAGTAATTTTAAGAAAAATCAAGGAGAAAAGTATTTTTGTGGAGTGCGTCATTTTTATATGATATTATATAAAAAATCTATTTTTAGTCAAACCTGATTATTTTACGGGGTTGGGTAGTACTTACTTAGCTCTAAAGCTAATTTTTGTTATTTCCCTTGTCTCTCTCTTCTCCCTTAAATTTTATCAGGTGATGAGTTGGATACCTATGTGGATTGATGGATTGCTCGAGCTTGAGTGCGAATTAGAAGATGCCTTAGTTAAATCTAGTCATGAAATTAACATTTACTTATTATTACATTAGTTTTTATTGGTTTACTTTGAGTTGCCTGTGCATTCGGTTAAGAGATGACCGAATGTGACGGTAACACCCATTTCCCTATTTCAGACTTCCGCTGTATTTCTTCAACTCTTTTATAAATTAATAAAGTATTTCTTTTAAATATATCAATGTTTTGGGCGGGAAATTTAGGGGTGTTACAACCTAGCAGAGGTATGGAACTATGTAAGTGTCTCGTTGCCTGTCTCAGCGTCCTTCACCTTGTCAGACTCGCGAGAGAACTTTGCCCAGACAAATCAAAGCTTGGAATGCCTCCAAAGTCATGAACATACCCTGTAAACAAAAGAAATCTTGTCTTAGGAATTCAGGAAAGAAACGAACCAGCAACAACCATAGAGGCACAACCACTAACGACACCCAATTACAGATCTGTCGGCGGATTGCACATTACCAACCAGGGAGGCTGTCTCTGTGCTATGTCCTAGGTGCGACGCCGAGTATGATAGAGCCGTCCGATTCAAGACTATGCAACGGACAACCCAAAGGGATACGGGTGGCAGGGGGTGTTCGGCCACACCTGAAGCATCACCACTTGCAATCCGCCGCCATTGCCTGGAGCCGTCATAGCTTGGAAGCCGCCACCGTTGACTGGGAAGCAACCAGCCGGCTGCCTGGAGGCGTCAATTGGGGAATCTGTCCCTCACCTTGGGAATGCAACACGAACCTCTCTACTACCTGAACCACTGAGAGACATTGAGCCGTCTTGGAAGCAGTTCATCCTATTTGGAAGCAACGCCGGCAACCTAGAAGAACACCAACAGCCTGGAGGAAATTCAGCCAACTTAGGAAGCCGCCTCCCAGGATGGCGTCATCGCCCAGAATCCGCCTCCGCCTGGAGCCCAGAAGCTGCCACGACCTTGAAATAGTTCAACCGATCTGGAAGGCTGCACTGCTGCACGGCCGGCTGGAGGATTTACATCAACCTCGCCAGTCGAGGTCTTGCTCGAGTTCATCTGCCAGCCTCCAGCTCCTTCAAGCGGCGCTGATCCGCCGGCCGGATCTGCAGAACTCCAAAAATGACGCCGACCGTTGGGGAAGACAGCATCCAGACCTCAGGGATGCCGACGAGTCGCACAGGACAACCGCCAGCCTACTGGAATCCGCGAGGTGGGAGACCCGACCTGCAGGGTGTCAATCAAACCGGTGGCTGACTACGGCGCTGGGTCGTGGAAAGAAGGCGCACATTTCCAGGAGAGAGAGAAAAAAGAAAAGAAAGGAAATAAAAGAAAAGGAATGAAAAGGAAAGAAAAGAAAAGAAAAAAAAGGAAAGATAAAATAAATTCCGAAAATAATTTATAAAACTATAATAATGAATTTCAGGAATTTTTGGAAGCTGGTGTGGATAAGTCAGGGAGAAAGCTGGCTGCTGGAATGCTAGAATGCTGATTGAATTAATTTGGGACCTTTTAAAATAATGGAAATCTCCCTAAATTGCGGAATTGACAGAATCCGCAGTTACGACTCCGTGGTATGTGAATATTTTTTAATTGGCACTTGACTTGAACTACTCCCTCTTAGCCGAGTCTACTACTCGACTAAGGGAGTGAGGGACTCGTGATGGGGTTACAGGACTAGGCCCAGAGCCTAATCGGCCCAGGCCCCAAACTTGGACCAGCAAGCCCAGGCCCAGTGACCCAGTGTTCGAGCCGGCCCAACTGATCAAGTCCATCAAGGAGCGGAAGCCCAAGATGGCCTGCTTTCATTAGTGATACAACTTTTCTCTTTCTCGGTCGTGAAGTTGTAGCAATTTCACTCAAATCACATTTTCTTTTGGAAATAGTCTTCTTTGTAGCAATTATTTTTATTATTACTATTATTATTATCATCATCATCATTATTATCATCATCATCATCATCATCATCATCATCATCATCATCATCATCATCATCATCATCATCATCATCATCATCATCATCATCATCATCATCATCATCATCATCATCATTATTATTATTATTATTATTATTATTATTATTATTATTATTATTATTATTATTATTATTATTATTGTTGTTGTTGTTGTTGTTGTTGTTGTTGTTGTTCTTATTATTATTGGCATTATTATTATATAGTATATATAATAATAATGATGATGATGATAATGATAATAATGATATCATCATTATTATTATATATATACTATATAATAATAATCATTATTTTTATTATATATATTATATAATAATAAAAATGATAATGATAATAATAATAATAATAATAATAATAATAATAATAATTGCTACTCTGTGAGGCTGCTCAGAGATTACGACCTCAGCGATGTGTTTCCTTGTCTTTGCGTGTCTTTTCTCAAAACACGGGAAAACTTAACATGCATGCCAAAAACACGGGGAAAATGTATGGTTTCTAAGAAAACGTAATTCGGAAGACATATTTCGAATAGATTAGGGATCACAATAGGGTGTATCTCCATTTGGAAACGCGTGTTCCGAAACCAATTTTTTTTCTTTTCGTAATCCCCATTCGGAAGATGCTCTTCCACATCAATTTTTTAAAATTTTTTTGTTATCCATTCGCATGATGGAGTTCCAAGTGACGCTTTTTATTTTTATTTAGTCATACAAATTAAATTGATATGAAATTATTTTTAATTAATAAATAAATTGGACCCCTTTCAAAAAATATATAAATTGGACGTATTAGTATTTTAATAAACGGATCGGATATGTTACATATGATCCGATCCGTTCAGGACTCAGACCCGTTTAAAATTTCTGAATCACGAGTTACAGTCTCGACATATGGTTCGTCTATCTCCAGAGTGGCCCATGTCGTATCTACTGCCTCGCACCCTCGCCGATATCACCGCTAGAGGATGATTCAACATCACTCTATGTTGTTCAAAGTCGGGATCGTCCGAGTCCTCAGACAAGTTTGTGACTGTAGAAAGTAAATATACATTATGTATACCAATTTCATTAATTTGTATCATACATAAAAGATTATATGTACATTTTTTGTTTTTTATAAGTTTTATTAAATATTTACTTTAGTCCTAAAAGCTACATGAATATATATTTGTCAAAACACACATGATTAGTCCTATATAGGGAATTTAAAATATGATAGTCCTATATATTAGTGGCATGTTTTAATCCTGTAATTAACCCTTATATGTACATCTATTAAACATGCAAAATGCATGTCGGGAGACTGGAAGTCCTGAAAAGTGAATGTGTTTCTCCTTCGGCCATATGTTGATGATGGACCTTGCCCAATATCCCTAAATGTAGCCGTAGTATTTGTAAGACCTTCGCCGAAGATCAAATTTTGTGGCTGCGCTATAGAGTTGTTTATAAAATCCACGAAACTTTGTAATTCTTCGTACTGCTGGAAAGCGACCCGGGAAAATTAAATCCATGACCGGTCATCATGGATGGGTCACACTCTAGAAGCAACGTAGACCGAATTATGAAATTTTGGCATTTTTCCGTAAATAGATTGTATTTCAGAAAACCCCGCTCCTCTTTTGTGTTTTAGAACACCTTCGTATAGAGTGTTAAAAACATCTCCTTTGGTGATGAACAATACTACCTTAGGAGGTAAGAAATACTCTATTTCATTATCTTTTGTGATCATAGAGCCAGTCCAATGAACAAGAACTGCAGTATCCGCTCTAGCCATTCGTAAATAGTATAGATTAAGAAATATAAAGTATGAAGTAAGAAAAACTATTCTGTGTTGTGGTGAAGAATTAAGAACAAAGTAAGAGTTTTAATATGTGAATGAAGTGTAAAGGTAGATGGAGAATGTGGAGGAAATGTGAACACGTATGCTTTTTATTATTTGGAAATTAGTACGTATTCCGAATGGAGAATGGTTCAAACATCTTTTTTGTTTTTTCCATTTGGAAATGAGCTATCCGAGGTATAAGTTTTTAATTTGTTTGTTTTTTCCATTTGGAAATGAGGTATCCGAATGGGTGTGGTTTTTTTTATTTGTAGTAGCTCAATAATATGATGTCCGAATTAGTGGGCATGCTTGTTGGCTTTTTAGCCATTCGGATTTCCGACTTCCGAATTGGAAGTAATTTTTTTAAAAAATAATCAGCTCTGCATTCGGAATTGGAAGTTCCGAATACCGTGTTTTAGTACCCTAAAGGCAACTTCCGTGTTTTTGCATGCCTTGTTCAAAACCCACGTCTTTTTGTCATTTCCTCTGTCTTTGACAGCCAACGAGGGCTCGTTGCCGGAATGACAGGTGCTCTGTTGAGGGTTTGCCTGTTCAAAGAGGAATCAACTGGATTATTTAGACTGCAACGTTGCCCGCTCAATGGTTCGTTTGACGAAAAATGGGAACAAAGGTCTGGGAAAGTTATGGAGAGGCTTTGGCAGGTCAGCGACAAGCCATCAAAGTTGATTATGAATGTGAATTGAAGTTGTAGCTGGTGGTGAAATCTGATAGGCGGTGATGACAGGTACTTGCATAAGGTTAGGAGTACGATGCCGCTTCCATCCATGATCGACAAGGGGTTGCGGTCGGATTTGAGGACTTCCCATGAGGAGGAGGATGAGGATGAGGGGAGGGAGAAGGGAGGGGAAAGAGGAGAAATCAGATACTCGATAGATAGTGTGATTGTTGGTGATACTTTGGAGCTATCTTCTATCTAATTGTCATGTTTGTCCTGTCTCAACTATGATGAGAGTTTTAGAGACAAACTTGGGACCTATGTCTTTGTGTGCACTACTGTGCGCACCTATTCCGGGACCTATGTGCTTGATTCTTGGTTTTATACAATTTCCTTGGTTAAAATGAGTTATGACTGAAGTGTCTGGGTCGGCTCATTATGCTAGTTTATGAAAAAGAAAAAATGTAAAATATTTTACATTAATAAAATAAAGAAAATTTATACCAAAAATAGCTAAAATGATCCTCTAAGTAACTTTAAACAATACCACGAGAAAAGTAACTTAAATGTTACTTTTTCTTATTATTGCACGATTCAGTGCGCAAAATCAAAGGTTATGTGTTTGGTGAAAAAGTTAGTTGATAAGTCTGATAAGCCAAAAACATGGTCACCAAATAGGCTCTGTCATAGTAATACACTAATACTAATACACATACCTTGTACATGAGGAATATATCATAAATAATTTAATTGTGTAAATTAGTGAAAATGAAACAAAGCATAGAAACAATTTAATTAAAGGTGAGATGAAAACATTATACTGATAGTGCAAAATTAAAGATTAAAACACATTTAATGGCAACACCTATTAAATTTGTTGTTGTTGAATGGTTATGATATAAAAATTAAAACATTCCGATATAAAAAAATAAATTATTTGAATTTTAATTATTTGTTGTTACTTTAAACCTATGTTTTCTTTTGGACTTTTTGAGTCACAGATCATACGAGATCATACCAGACCAGACTTAAACAGACTAGATCGACCAGACTTAAACAAATCATACCAGATCAGATCAGACTTGGAGAGTTATAAAATATACAAAGAACTGACATTTATCAGACTAGACTAGACCAGTTCAGAACAGACCAGACCAGACCAACAAATTTCAGTTCAAAAGAAAACATCCTTACTATCATTAATGAATCATGTCTTTCTAAATCACTCATGTGTCTCATGTCTTAGATGATAGTTATAGTCATTTGCATATTCAAACACACACACACAAATACATTGTCATATACCCCGTCCCATTTTATCTATCATACTTTCCATTTTGGGTTGTCCCAAAACAAGTATCACAATTCCCTTTTTAGAAAGAAATACGTGGTTCATGACATTTCACTTTATTATACTCAAATTTCAACCAAAACTTTTACCTTTTCAACCACTTTATTAAAATTTGTGTCAAAACCAAATGAGACACATAAAATGGGACGGAGTAACGGAGGTAGTATTAATTAGGAAAACCCATATGCTTTAGTAATATTAATGTATTTTTTCAAGATTAATTTCTCGTCTCATTTTTGCAACTATGATGACACTTTATATTTTTTAATTTAAAATGCAAGCCTAATTTTTTATTCTTCGATTTATCGGTGTTTTACCATCTTATATTTTTGGGAAAATTCTCAAAATATGAGTGAATTTTTTTGAGAATTCCAAAATAAGACTGTCATGTTTTTTCCCTAAGTAGGTGTAATTACCGCTAAACATGCATAGACAATAGGGCCATGTTTAAAGTTTGATATTGCCAAAACATGACATTAATTATTCCTATTTAGATAGTAAAAACGTGATATTCCATTTTGAAATATAAAAACATTTTTAGCCCCATTTGGGGTAATTTCCCTAATTTTTTTTATAGTACATCGTAATATATTATGTGCTCACTTTAATACTAAGAATGTGGACACATTTCTCATCCGGTGAGTTGCTTAAGTTGGCCCAGTTTTATTCAGTGAATAGAATCAATAGACGCACTCAATAATACAGTACATATTTGAATTGAATGGTGAAAATTAAGGCGTTACATAAGCATCAATGAGACTTTAATGGTGTTTAATTTATTTTAAGTAACTTCTATTTCCTCCTTAATGAGTAAGATCTTTTCCATATTTCTTTTACTTTTTTGTTCATTTTTTTTATAAATAGGTAATTGCAGCTCACAATGTTACATAGACTTTTGTGATTTCAAACACACAATACTTTCTTGACCCTAAATTCATTTACGTCACTACATCCTCAGGGAATATGGCTTCATGCTATCAAATTATCTTCTTCACTTCCCTAGTTGTATTTGGTATGTGCTATATATCATATATATCTAATTAAAATATTGTATTCGTTTTGTCCTTTATACTCCTTTGGAATTGATACTTGAAAACTCCATTTTCAGTATAAAGTTTTTGGGTTTCTATTTAAAAACATGAATGATGTTCCGACTTTCTTCTTCTTCTAGAAGATAATGTTGTTGAATCTCATGACTCATTTCAACTTCCATGGTTCCCTACTATATACATGTACAAGTATTTTTACAATTTAGCTGTTATTTACTCCTGATATTTACACCTTTTAATTATCATTATCTATTAAATATTTTTTCGAATTTTCACTAAGATTACATTTGGCCTCCTTAATATGAATTGCTAACTCAATTTTCAATTATCATCGTCGTCATTATTTTGAATTTATTATCCTTTTTTTGTTGTTATTATTATTCTCATCCTCATTAATATGGCAGGTATTCTATTCATGGGGAATAATGTTGAAAAAGTTGAGGCTGCAGACATCTTCTGCACACAAGAATGCAATCCTGAAGCGTTCTATATGCTATGCCCACAAAATAACACAAAGATTTACAATGTTTGCAAAAATTGTTGCCAAGCTAGACTCCTAAGTTGTCATCTATACCGTGCCGATGATAGTCTTATATGTTAATCTCTCATGACGGCTTATGTTATTCCACATTTTGTCATTATTTCACAATAATGAATTCCTTAATTGCTATATCAAATAAAGCATATAAAGGTTGATTATATTGTTGATGGATTGCTATTTCACAATTGTTCCCAATTTTCAAATATCACTAATGCAGTAATACTTCAATATTGATTGTACAATTTTATGTTTGAGACATCACGTAACTATGAAAAGAGTTTTTTTGCAACAATGTGAGGTACAGGTTGGGAGTTTGAGCACAATGAAGTAATAAAAATAGTTGATAATAAAAAAACAAAATTGAACTTAAAAAATCAATATATTTAAATGTATATGCATAAAGTAGTTTTATTTATATTCTCATTGATATTTTACATCTTGACATCTAATCCTAAACAATTAAATTAATAGCAAACTTTACTTGGGGTGTCCCCAACAATGATTTTCATGGATTCTCAAAGATTGTTGATTTTATGAATTTTAATGGAATTTCATAGATTCCATAAGATTTTAACAGATTTTAATGGAATTCAATATCATCGAATTATATGGATTTGAAAAGATTCTACACCAAAATTCTAGATCAATGTGGAGTGTTGGAAAAATGTGTTAAATTGCATTAAATGGTCATTTTGGGGCAATTATTTGAGTGAGGTCCACTTCCTATTTGGGTCGGGTCAAAGTGGTTTCGGATTGTCCTTCTTTAAGGGCTACAATTCGATATATGCTACGTTCAAAACGGATAACGGGTGAATGGGAAATTGATTCTCGAATTTCACTCGTTGAAATGGAAAAACTGGGAAAATGATGGTTTTCTAGTGTGTTTTATACCACACCGGAAAACTCATGGGCTTCGTACCAGAAGTGCTCCACCTCTGGTGGAGGTATTCTGGTAGCATCAGAGTTGCTCCAACTCTGATGAGGGTATTCTGGTCGCGCACCAGAACTGCTCCAAGCCGTTACAGCCATTAAAATGCCCAACATTCTTGTCTTTTAATGCAGCATTAAATGGACAGTTTATGGACGATTCAATGCTCAACGGACTGGTCATTGATGTCTAACGTCCAGGTCCATTAACACCCCATTTAACACACAACAAATCCTCCTATAAATAGCTGGCAGGTGGTTTGCAACAACACAACTCACAATACATTCCTCACGTATTTTTGAGCTCTAAAACACTTCCAGATACTCAGAAAATTTCTAAGTGTTCATACTGTGTTCCAGTTCACCGGAACTCTCGTTTGTGTGCTCAAACGTTAGTTCGTTAGCCACCGTATCCTGGGAAACGGTCGTTGCAACGCTCCTAGCACCGTGGGAGGCGACGAATACGTTTTAAGGACATCGTGCGTAGCACGAGCTCTGGCTAAAATTTGCTCCATCTTATTTCTGTTTTTTTTAGCTATTTTATTAATTAATTAATTATTTTTATTAATTAATATTTCTTCGTTTTTCCAAAACACACCCAACAATCTTAAAACGTACTCAGTGATTGTTCTACTCCGGTAAACAATCTTAAACTGTAGTTTGTCACTTTGGTGAACGAACTTATTTTTTTTGTGTTTTCGGGAAATGTAAGAAAACGTTAAAATGGCTTCACAAGAAATTGGAAATGTTGGTGGGCAGAACGTGCTAAACGACACTCACTCTGAAAGTGGAGCACCGGTGAACAATGGTTCACAACGCGGTGCATCTACTTTGGGCAACCAAAGGGCAATCCCTATGGTTACCGTGCCGAGCAACTCTGTGGAGAAACCCGAAAAATTTAACAGGTTAAACTTCAAGAGGTGACAGTAAAAGATGCTATTTTACCTCACTACTCTCGGTCTTGCTAGGTTCTTGACCGAAGATGCGCCGGTAGCAACCGGGGGTGAGGTGGATGCGCAATCTTTCAACGCGGTTGAAGCTTGGAAGCATTCTGACTTCCTTTGCCGAAACTACGTGTTGAACGGGATGCATGATGCTTTGTACGACGTGTATAGCAAATTAGCTACGGCTAAGGAGCTATGGAATGCTTTGGACCACAAATATAAAAGCGAGGATGCCGGTGCAAAGAAATTTGTTGTCGGCCGATTCCATGATTTTAAAATGGTGGATTCGAAGACGGTCTTGAGTCAAGTTGAGGAGATGCAAATGATCTTCAACGGAATTCGAGATGAAGGAATGACAATTAGTGAGTCTTTCCAAGTGGCGTCAATTATCCATTTATTGCCGCCGGCTTGGAAGGATTTCAAGAACTATCTTAAGCATAAGCGAAAGGAAATAAACTTGGAGCAATTCATCCTCCGTCTACGGATTGAAGAGGATAACCAGAAGAACGATGGGAAACTCCCAATCGTTACCAACGCCAAGGCCAACGTAGTGGAGCATGCAAAAGGCTCCAAAAACAAGAACAATGGGAAGAGCAAGCTCGGTCCCAAGGGAGGCGTTTCCAAAACGAAGTTTAATGGAAA